TTGAGAGTAGCAGTATCATTTCATGTGGAGATAAAGAGACCCAAAACATGAATGGGTGTCAAGTCATCTGAAGAAAAGAAAAAAGAGAAGGAACTTCATTCACTGAGACGGACGGTTTATGAGGTGGGGATTATGGGAATATTCATGACTCAATCAAGAAGCACAATGAATTGATGTTTGAAATAGTTCATCTTTTAAGTAAACATTGGATAAATGGAAAGTAGACTCCGTATTCACTACATGTAGAATTGCCTATTTCAGAACCAAAATAGCAGTTCAAACAGAAATAGCAGTTTGTTAATCCCTTCCTGAGTTGGTTTAATTTATCAAGTTAATCTGAAATTTTATAAGAATTCTCTAGCTATAAATATTTAGTGCAGATATTTAATAGAAAAAGGAGTTTGTTTTGTAATTAGCCATGCTAATCTGTACACACATTTCCGTGGGAAAGTAATTTCTAAATAGTTAAACACAATAAGATCTTAGAATTTGAAAACACTAATACTGGGACATTAATTTGAAAGGATCAGAAAGTAGAAAGTTTTAGTTGCTAGCACTTAACCTTATTTTTATGGGTAACTATTTCCTGGGTGCAGTTAGATGGCATAGTTTGTATATAAGAAGTGCTGAAAACTTAGAATTTAAAATGAATGAATTCAAATATAAGAAATAATGCTGATGATTATTTGTAATATAGCTTCTTTGCAAAGAATGAAATCAGTCTACTTCCTAAAGCTCTGTGTCTGTGTGTATGTATGTGTGTGTGTGTGTGTGCACGGTCAGCATAGTTTAGTCTTCTTAATAAAGTGAAATAATTAAATGGAAGTTTCTCTTTCCACTGGTATTGTATTGTTGGATCTGAGTATTCTCTGTTCTGTGTTGCTTATGTGGTTCAGGTGACCCATCAGCGTTCCTTGACCTTCATTGTCAGTGTGTATGTACCCTGCCTCCCGTTCCCAGGCTGGCTCTAGTTCTTGTGCTCCTGGCGTCTGCCCTCTGGGTCATTGGCTTAACACCCAGGAAGCCTGTCAAATGGTATTTTCCTTCTTAATAACCTACAGCCTTTATTTTCTGTCCTCTATTTTTGGGAACTTCGCTTACCACCTGTCAAGTATTTATTGAGCATGTATGTTAAGTCTGATATTGTAGACACTGAGGATGCTGAACTTTTTTTGTCCAGTTTCATACTTTGGTATTGTTTTCCAAGGATTTCTTCAAATGTGTGTAGATCTAGTCTCCTCAAGAGGTAATAATATTTATTATATGTTTTTTAGTCATCCCTAGGCACAGAACTACTTGGGAGCATGCTTGGTAATTAGTCCATTCCCTAACTTTTACCACAGTGTGTCTTACTTCACATAAAAGGTAAAACTTAAAACAAATACACTTGAAGTAATAGCATTGGTTTTCTTACCATTTAGAGTCTATAGTAGATCTAGTATGTTTCTGATCAGAGGGATGTCACAAAGTGAACTCTCCAGGCTTAATATCCTCATCTTTGGCAGTGACACTTTGGGTCGTATGAGGACCGAGTGAAATGTGGGATTTAAAATCATCCCAAATATAGTAGACACTTCATAGACTTATAATGAGGTAGGAAGGAGGTGATCAGGGAGTTCTTCTCAAAGGCAGGATAGCATCTCTGTCCCCATGTCACTCCATTAAGTGCACTGTATAAAATGAAGGAAGAAACACAGAAGTGAATTTTTAAATTTAGTGTAAAAAGGATATGTTTATCACAATTATTCTTTTTTCTTTTAATGTTTACCTCCACCCTCTCCTCTCTTCTCATCTACCCCCATTACTTCCTAGTTACTTACTCAAATACCCTTTGTGTCATTCTTGAGGTTTCAGAGTATAGTGTCATGGTGTCCTGATAATCTAACTATAAAATTTGTAAAAAAACAACTTTTTGAAAGGGAAATTTGGCAATTTTATTCTGTGGTTTTCTTATTAATTAGATGTCTTTTTACTTTCATTTGGAAAAAAACATTTTATATCTCTAATTTTAGAAGAATTTGAGTTTGATTCAGACTTCACAGTTAGACACCTGTATCAGAGTGGTCCTTGGGACCCCTCCTACACTGTTGGTGGGAATGCAAGCTGGTGCAGCCACTCTGGAAAACAGTATGGAGGTTCCTCGAAAAGTTATGAAAATAGAGCCACCCTATGACCCAGCAATTGCACTACTGGGTATTTACCCCAAAGATACAAATGTAGGGATCCGAAGGGGCATGTGCACCCCAATGTTTATAGCAGCATTGTCCACAATAGCCAAACTAGAGCCTGGATGTCCATCAACAGATGAATGGATAAAGAAGATGTATAAATATACAATGGAATATGATGCAGCCATCAAAAAAAATGAAATCTTGCCATTTGCCATGACATGGATGGAACTAGAGGATACTATGCTAAGCAAAATAAGTCAATCAGAGAAAGACAATTATCATATGATCTCACTCATCTGAAGAATTTGAGAAACAAGACAGGATCTTAGGGGACGGGAGGGAAAAATGAAACAAGACGAAACCAGAGAGGGAGACAAACCATACGAGACTCTTAATCTCAGGAAACAAACTGAGGGTTGCAGGAGTGGAGGGGGGTGGGAGGGATGAGGTGGCTGGGTGATGGACATGGGGAGGGTATGTGCTATATGGTGAGCGCTGTGAATTGTGTAAGACTGATGAATCACAGACCCGTACCCCTGAAACAAATAATTATATGTTAATATAAATAAATAAATAGATAAAATAAAAGATTGGCCCTTGGTCTCTTTCAATACAAATAGACCTTGCTCTGAGCAGTCTCCTGTGAGTGATACTACTGTGCCACCCGCTCACAGATCGTCTGTCCAGCTGAGGATGAAGGTCAGGGACAGGGCAAAAGGATGGATGGAGCCAGCCCTGCAGCTGCCCGATTGTACGCAGATCATGGAGCAAATAGAATCAGACTTCCTCTTACACAGTACAGCTTTCCCAAGTAGAAAGAGTTCACAGTGAAATGTTTAGAGGAGCTGCCAAGGCTTAACACCTGTTTTAGATTTCCATGTGTTGTGCTGTTTAAGCCAGATGATTTTTTAAAAACCCTGTTCAATTCCAAAATTCTGTGAGACAACTTAGAAAACTCCTTTTCTCCTACTCTCCCTTTTTTTAAAAAAATTCTTCAGCTGATGAACTGCACTATGTGGAATTCTGTAAATACTCACTGAAGAAAATAGGTGAAGCTATTTCTAAGCAACAAATGAATTAATTTTAAAAATAAGAATATGACCTTATTTTGAGAAGGGATGTATATTTTTGGTTTGACTTTTTTTTTACAAATAGTACTGACTACCAAAAAGTACAGACTAAACTTCTAAGAGATGGGTTGGGATTATTTTTTCTGGTTTCTCTAGTTTACTTTCACATATAAGGAATTATTGGCATCTCTGCAATAACTATTCTCATGTTTGCTCAGTAAATAGTTTGATTAAAACAATACACTTTTTTTCTCTATAGATTTTGTGTTAGTCTCGGACTCATACGAAGAGGTAGAAGTGTTAAATTACTGGCAAAAAAAGATGAAGACATGTTCTTGATATGCAGCCATATAGGCTTTGTTGAGTTCCTGCAATGCTAATAAGAATTCGCGAAGAGGACAGGTCTTCCTTTCATTGGCTATTCATCAAAACTGCTGTCTCACTGATAGAAATACTGTGTCTTCAATTGCAGATTATTTATTTTTAAATATAAAAGATACAAATGTTGGGGTGCCTGGGTGGCTCAGCTACTTGAGTGTCTGAAACCTGAAGTTTCAGCTCAGGTCATGATCATGAGATGATCCCCGCCTCAGGCTCCATGCTCAGCACAGTCTGCTTGAGATTCTCTCCCCTTTGCCCCTCCTCCCACTCGAAAGCACTCTTTCTCTAAAATAAGTAAATAAATATTTTTTAAAAGATACAAATGTTGAATATTATAATGATTTTTCTATAGATATAATGCAGAATGCCTTACAGTTTTGCCTCTAGATCGATAGTTTCGAACCAGTCACTTCACTGTAATTGATAATTCCCACTAATATGTAGAATTGTGTTAAAAGGACAAAGATATTTGTTACTGTGCTTACCACAAGCTATATTTTAAAGGGGAAGTTGCATAATTAAGTTAGCAGTGAAGTAGAATAAATCACAACTTCCATTTTTTTAACATTTGGAGATTGACATGTACTGTGACTAGTTTATATTTGTGAAGGAAATCTTTATATTTCAGAGAGAAGTTACAGGTTTTATTTGGAAGTCTATAAACATGAAAATCTAAAATCAAATAAAATAATGTAAGTCTGTCTTCAGTGCCTATAGTGTTCTTAAACTATTTGTAGCTAGAAAAGTACATTTTTTCTATGTATTTTTGAAGTGTTTTGCCCTTTTCATGTTTGTTGCAAGTATTTCCTACAATTTCTTTTATCTATTTTGACATATAGAGTGTACATTTTAATGTGATCATACTGGTAATCTTATCCTTTGTATTTTCCATTTATCCTAAAAAATCATTTTCCAGTCTAAGGCCTGTTAAATGCTCACCTGTGTTCTCTTTTAATTTTTAAAAATGGTTTCATTATTTTATTTTATTTTATATTTTCCTCTGTTCAGATATTGCTAACTGAGTCCTTGGTTGGACTCCAGAGAACCTGAGAACTCCTTAAAGTTCTATATGCAATTACGTATGTATCTATACATACATTTTTCTGTGTAAGATTCCATAACTCTTACTACATTCTGAAAGGGGTCTGTCACAAACCCCACACTCCTTCCCTTTCCAAAAAATTGTTAAGAGCTACTTACTACAGTCCATTTTAACCTTTTCTGGACATAAGGGGGTATGGGGTGCTAAAGTAATTTTTTTCCCTTTCCCAAATAGAGTATGCCAGACCATATATTGGATAATTATCTTCTAAGATTTGTGTTGCCTTTGAAAAATAAATTCACTTTTAACTAATTTATTGTCTTTTTATCTCTGCAGAGAAAGTTAGAGAAATTCAAGAAAAACTTGATGCTTTTATTGAAGCTCTTCATCAGGAGAAATAAATGGTAATAAGTTAAGTAAAAGTCCTCTTACTGCATTGGTACTGACTAGATGCAAAATTTATATTTTTTAACTTATTGTTATAGTTCATCATTGTACTTGACTATATCCTGCTTGTTCCTTAATAACAATTTTAGTGTAATTAAATAATTTTAATGGCAGGGATCTCTGAAACTAATTCTACATTTCATATATGTAATGTTCCTTTTGAATACTTGATTGTCTTCTGGCTGAACTAAAAATATCCTCTAGACCTCATTTTGAACAGAACAAAGGTAAACAAAGCTAAGCTGTTTCATAATATGCATATGGCTTGTAAGTTTTCTGCATTTAAAGAATTGAACTGTAGCTCTCATTTTATTCCTCATTGTTCACATTCAATTGATAATTATATGTATGTTAAGTTGCAAAGCATTTGTTTGGCTTGACTAGTAATCCTAACAGTTGTTCTTAATCTTATTCTCTTATGTTTAAAAACATTTCTCCTGTTTAAAATTACTCAGATAGCCTTAGTATGTAGTACTCTTTTGAATGTGTGGACTCTTGTCTAATTTTATAGTCTGGCATTGGAAGCATGTTCCAGATAAAGTATTACATATATAGAGACTTGCCTTAGTAGCTTAGTAACCTGCTAATTATTGCTAAAGAATTATAATTAGTAAGTCTTTTGCTTTTATTGAAGAAGTTGAGAAAGGGAAAATGCTATAATTAAGACATTATCGTGTATTTAAAATATTTAATTAATCACTTTATCTGTGAGCCTTGCCCTGTAGGCAGCCTGCAACACAGTCAGAACTGGAAGGAATAGAAAAGTAAAAGATTCCCTCCCTAGCTGCTGCGTTCCTTTCAGAAAAGGCCCTTTAACCAAACTACCTATTTTCCTCTACTGGAGGGACAGTATGTTTGAGAAAGCAAGCTAGAAAAGGAAGCACAGCTTAGACCATTATCACTCAGAACAGCATCCCAGCAATGAATGAGGGAGGAAGGAATTAGAAAGCTTTCCAGTAATGCTTTGGTACTTTGTTCTCTCTCTCTCCCTGAAGGTAAGACAGATGTGTATATGGATGTATACAAAATGTATCTAGAAACTAAGTATCAGTCATCTTGAACACAATCCAAAAATAATTCATTGTTTTTAAGTGTCTGTGTTCATAAATGTTTTATACAGCTTCAGTGTATGAAAATTTTCTTTTAAAGTCATAAGGTTGTTATATCTTCCTCATCATAATTACTCAATAATTAATGTTAGAAATAAACATTTTGAGAGCCTTTTTGATTTGAAGATTCTCCTCTTCAGCACCAAAGTTCTCCTGAAATTTTTGTTTATAAATGTGGTTTGGGGCGATGGGGCGAGGGGAGGAAATTCATGAAAATCACAGAAACCCATTAAAAATATAAGCTGCATTTCTGTCTTTAATGAAATTGAGGAAGCCTAAAGCCAGCCAGTGTTTTACATAATGGTGAGTGTCACTTCCCTGAGTGGGTCATTGTGGCATCTTATAATTACCATTGCTACTGGAAACATGCCTTTTCCTGCCAGAGTGTCTGTCTCAAGTGGAGTCCAGGGCAGTCCCAAGAGCTAAGTTGTGATGATACTTGTCTATGAGGAAACCATCCCAACTTTGTCTTTAATCTCTACAGCCCTTCCCAACCCTTGGGATTTATAACCCTGTGAACTGTTAGTAATTCTATTTTGCACCCTGCAAATCCAATGAAAAGAATAAATGTGGCAAAATGGTAGTAGCCTTGCTTCGTTCTGACCATTTTATAAAAGTTACCAGGAACTTTAAGGAATAGTTTCTTAGTGATAGTTTTAACATGTGTGGATTCCTCAGCCTGGTAGTTTTAAGTAATTCATTCTGATAATTGCTGAAGATGTTTATACCCAACACAGTCATACACAGATTCCTTCTGCTGATCAACTTTAATATGTTTTTAAATTTTTCCATAAAAATTAATTACAGTATTTTTTGATTCACACATCATGTTAATAAAATTGTTCTATTGTTACAGTAGGTGATATTTTGAATTTAATACAACTAGCAGACAGGCAGTTAAATGTCAGTATTTTTATGATCATGCAGTAATAAAGTTTAGAAATTTTGCATTTGTCTCCTCATACCTTAATTTATCAAATATGTTTATTTTTGCAGAATCCTACTCATAATATAATCACCTCTGCATACATGTGAAGAAAGAAAACTCCAGAGTCTCTTGTCCTGCCTTTTCTCCTTCTGCTATTCCACCTTTCTAAACATAAAATAAAGTCATGGGATAAAAATAATTTATGCGTGTTCGAGGCACTTTAACCATCAGCTGCCTTTTGAATGCAAGAACAGTGGAAATGGCATTAAAATCCTATTTTATTGTATTGAAGTGACAAATTAAAATAAAACAAGTGGTGTGGCCGTTAGATTCAGTCCTTGAAGATAAGAATCTCGCTCTCCTGCTTGTCTCATTTGTGGTGGCACGCATTCAACTAATTCATTAGCTGATGATACTCAGTGTCAGTTTTTTTCTGGGGAAAAAGTGCTAGATATTGTGAAAAGCTATCAGTTGTATATAAGATGATGGTAACCCGCTAAGTTGTTGTCTGTATCTGTAATGTTCTATATGCAGTAACTATCTGATTATGAAAATTGAGTTTACATTTATCATGTGAAAGAGGACTAGCTAACAGAAGGGTGCCTCAAACAGGTGAATCTGGATTACAACAATCCAGGTACATCCAGTGAAAGAGGTCTTACCCTTCATTGCCAGCTGAGAGGGCTGCCTTAGAAGCAAAGTCAGCAGCAGCTTCCCTGTTTGCTTCCGTTGATGATTTTGTCCTTTCTGTACCCATTTGAAATTCATTTACTTTGTATAGGTAAGCCGGGTTTTCTGTTAACCGTGGGTTTTTTGAACCTGTTGACAGAGCTACTGGGTTGTGACACAGGGTAAGGAAGATAAAGAATAATCAGTTGACTAATTTCATTGAGACTGTTGTCAAGCACTTCAGGTGGGCTTCAGGAAAAGGCCTTCTGTCATAAGACTATTTTAAATAGAAATTACTTCAACAGAATAATGTTGACCATCTCCCTCTTAGCTGAACGTGTAAAGAAAAACATAAAATTTGATTCACTGCAGTTCAGTTATTGTACCTTCACAGCATTTTCATGTGTTTCATACAAATACTTCTTTATTGGCTGACAGACTTTAAAGCAAAGAAATATGCCATTTTTGACTTAAAATGTCTTTCTCATTTATCTCTGCTTTGTTGCCATTTCATGGAACCTTTATTATTCTAATAAAAATGCCCACTGTGTGACAGTTTTTATTTTATAGTTTACTTAATTTTCAGCTTTTTTAGAATTATGTTTTGGTAACAGTTCCCTTGCCACCCCACTTTTTTTTTTTAATTTAGCATCCATATATCCTTCATTGTGATTTCTCTCAAGATCTGAGGACACTTAATATACAAAGTTGGAAGGATATCACAGAGTATTTCAGAAATTGAGAATTCAGTAAATATTTGTTTTATACTGTTTGATAAGAAAGGTAGATCCTGTTTTACACAGCTGGTAGCAGTCTACATTGTTATTTGGTAGATGAGAGTCAGGAACATTTCATGTGTCTTTCAGCTCTAGGGCTGATGGGTGAACAGAAGGGGAGTAGAGAGCCCCACTCCATGTTCTGTGCCGAGTTTGGAGATGACCTCACTGATTAACTCCCTCTAACCAGTGCTGCTTGGTGTTAACTCCTCACTGAAGCAGGCACCATGGAGTTATTAATATTTTTGTAGTTGTAAAACGCACCCACTTTACAACTACAAATCTATTTCTAAAGAAATAGGACCATGTTTATTTATATGTGCTATGGATAGGAAAAAATACCTTCAGCAGTATTTCTGTAGATTTTTCCCAAGCAAAAGGCTGATGTTAAGTCAGTACTTTTTTCACATCTCTTTGTATAAATTTAAGAAATGGGGATGGGGTGTCTTCATTTTGAGATCAGTATTTGTAATTTAAACATACAAATAGATGATAAAAATTAATGTGATTAAAAATCCATGTAAGAGTCCGGACACCCCCTTATCCCCCACAGTAATATGACTTCTTTCTTTCATGGGCTACATATATATATATTTGTTTGTTTGTTTGTTTTAGCTGAGCTCATTCTAAGCATGCCTTTTTTTCTTGGAAGTTAGGTTGATGCAGATGTTATTAAAAGAAAAAATAAAATTCGGATTCTCAAGAGTAAACCCTGTGTGTTGTATCTATAGTTCAAAAATTACAAATGATTCAAAGTTAAACCAATCACTTCAGAAATTCAATGTATAGGAGTTAAGTTCTAACTCGACCAGGAATCATTTGTTTTGCATGGCAGAAATTGCAAAGAATAGAGTGAACAAAGCTCTGTATGGAAGACTGAACAATTGTAAATAGATTATATCCAAAATTGACTTGGTCAAGGTATCAATTTTAAAACTCCGTATTCGTAGGCAATGCACAATAGGAAACAAGCCGTTCTTGCTGCTTCACAGTTCAATCAGCTGAACTATAGTTATAGGTGGAGCAATCCTCCTTTCTTAGTAGCTTAATTATATTCTCTCCTCTTTGTATTACCCCCCTTTTTCAGGCTTTACTCCAATGGACTCCTTCCCACAAATAATTTGGCCTCCAAATGCAAATGAATAGTGTAAAAATGAGTAGGGAGCATTGCAGAGAGTGGTGCTTCCTAACCGTATAATGTGGGAAGTTTACATATGATGATAAGATTCAGAATGGAGGCTTAAAAGGTAATTTCCTTAACTAGTTAATAATTTTATATTTATTTCAGATGTATTTATCTGGAGAAAGAAATATGGTCTTTTAGGTTTCCGGTAAAAGGGATCAAAACAATGCTTTTTATCTCAGTTCTCTTAGCTGGTGTTTGCTATAGTTTCAGGTACTTCAGCAGTATAGAGATGTGCTTACAAATATACTTACTTTTGAATGATCATGACTATGTGTTTAAATATTTAAAACTTAACCTTGTTTTTACTTGTGCACTGTGAATGAACTTTGTATTATTTTTTAGAACCTTCACACTCCATGTAGATGTTATTGCGATTATATTTTGCCTGTGATTAATTAAGGTCATTTGTGTAGATTAGTAATTAAAGCTATTTAAATCATGTTATAATTCAATATTGGAGAGCATCTTTTAACTTTTCTCTGTATTAATGAGAGGGTGAGGAAGAGAGAGAGAGAAACCTGAGCACCTGGGGTCATAATTTGACCTCACAGTGTAACCAAAATCATGGTCTCACAAGCCTCTTAATGTGGCTCTCCTCTAAATACTTATACTTCACACGCTTCACATTTCGCAGTTGTAATCCACAGTCAAACAATGCCTTTTTTTATGTCTTGATACTTGTCAAAACATTTTGGTATTTACTTTGATAAAATATATTAAAAATGTCTTTTAATTGGATTTTGCTGCCATGGCCATCATTTTCACTAATGATGCTAGCATGTTCATTCATACAGGAGGCTTACTGAAAAGTCATACCTAAGTCTTAGAAGGGGAAGGAACCTTGAGGATCCCTTACTTCCATCTACCACCTTATTGTAAACTCCCATTTCTCTTTTTTTTTCTTCCCAGAACTTTGCTCCTAAATGATGCTTATTAAATGTCTGTTGATCATTTGATATGTAAAATAAGGCAGAGTATAGGTGTGCCTTCTCCAGGATTCATATGGTTGGCTGAAGTCAAAATTAGGGAAAGACTCAAAGTCATGATTGCTTCAATAAGTAGTACATACTAGCTGGAATATGGTTTATTTCTGGTGAGTTAATGTCAAGAGACAGTCTTTGAATTCCTTTGGAAGGTTTGTAGAAAAGAACATGTTTCAGTCACGTTAGCCTGTATGTCACTTGTCACTGTTAACGGACCAGGCTCAATGTGAGGCTCAAAAAGTAGTTGTACTTTAATTTTTTGTCCTTTGTACACTTCAAGTTCAAAATCTGCATGTATCAAAAAAGTTGCAGACTTTACTTCCTGTAGATTTAACAGAGTGATTTGTTTCCTTCTCATGCTTCCAGTTGAAGACTTCATACCTTTTAAAAATTATTCATTTTTTAATTGTAATAAAGTTGACGTAATATTAAATAAGTTTCAGATGTATGAATTCTCTACCAAAGTGAAGTAGTTTATCATGTGCTTGGAAATAATACAGATGTATTGTTTAATTGTATTACAAAATGTGTTTTAAAATAATCACATCCAATTTGTGTTAACTAAAATGGTCATATTTTGCACATGTTAAAACTAAGTTAATGGACGTAGAAAACTTAAGAGTTAAGATGAGTGCTACAAAAATTGTCAAAGATTAAGAAGCAAAACAGTATCAACAAAGTTTATTTATTTAAATTCAATTAGCCACCATAAAGTGCATCATTAGTTTCTGATGTAGTGTTCAGTGATTCATCAGTTGCATATAACACCCAGTGCTCATCACATCACCTGCCCTCCTTAATGCCCATCATCCAGTTACCCCATCCTCCCACCCCCTCCCCTCCAGCAACCCTCAGTTTGTTTCCCAGAGTCAGGAATCTCTCATGGTTTGTCTCTCTCTGATTTCTTACCATTCAGTTTTCCCTCCCTTCCCTTATGGTCCTCTGCACTGTTTCTTATATTCCACATAGGAGTAAAATCGTATGATACTTGTCTTTCTCTGATTGACTTACTTCACTTAGCCTAATTCCCTCCAGTTCCATCCACGTCGATGTAAATGGTAGGTATTCATCCTTTCTGATGGCTGAATAATATTCCATTGTGTATATATGAACCACATCTTTATCCATTCATCTCTTGAAGGGCATCTTGGCTCTTTTCACAGTTTGGCTACTGTGGACATTGCTGCTACGAACGTTGGGGTGCATATGACCCTTCTTTTCACCACATCTGTATCCTTGGGATAAATACCCAGTAGTGCAATTGCTGGGTCATAGGGTAGCTCTATTTTGAACTTTCTGAGGAACCTCCATTCTGTTTAAATGTGAATGACGTTTACCCTGAAGAAGACCATTTTATAAAGTAAGGGTAAGAAAAATGTGCATCATAAGGTTAAATAGGTATCTTGAAATGATAGAGTTGAGTTACTATCTTGAAAATTGAGAACGTGTATATGATCACTCTCAGAAAGACGAGCTCACATTCTCTAGGGCTAGTGTTGAGGCTCATTTGGGGTCAAGTCACTGAGTAGGAAGTAACTTTTAAATGTTTTTAAGTCCCTGTTCCTTCATTCTTTTAGCTGAAGAATTCTTGTTTTGTTTTCAACTACTTAATCCAGGTGTTAGCCTGGTTCCTATCCAGGTATTTGAGAAAATTTAAAAACCCATAGGCCCAAGGCCCCACTGAAGACCCAGTCACCGTGCCGTGACACACCAGCTGCCTCCCACAGAGGAGTGTCTTACAGCTGTGTTACCAGTACAGGTTACACTCCTTAATGTTTGAAACAGAATGTCTGTTCTGCTGCTTACTCTTGGAGTCACTAAGTCACATAGCAGCAGCATGGAAATTAGCATTTTATCCACTTGTCAGAAAATATAGTCATGGTTGACATGATCTAGCACTTCCCAGAAGCTTGTGAGACCTCTAACATCTGTGAGAAAGTGTGTAGAGAATAGACTGACTCCATCTTGCTTTGCTAAAGTTTTTCTGAGAATTAGGCCAAATCTTCAGGAAGCAATACTGCCTGGACTGACACTGACCTACCTCTGGATTTATCTAATACGCCCTTGGCTTTCCCAATACTATATGATGTACCTAGTTGAAGAAAATACTCTTTTCTGCAAGGTATCTTTTGCAGAAGTAAAACCTAAGAGACTGTCTTATCATTTAAGTTCATTAAAGTAAGGATTACTAGATAATTCAGGGCCAGCAAAGCTTCCCACTCCAGACAAATGTAGTTGCCACTCTTCTTCTGTCAAAGAGAATTCAAGACCTTAACCTATTTCTTCACTTCAACTGCAGGAAATGCTAAAATTAGTTTACCTCTTAACTTAAGGAATTAACCTGTCCATTTTCCTGCGTTCCATTTTTATTTTTAATGTCCCTTTTCCATACGTCTTAACATAGAAGTAGTCACACATCATTAACAAGTTGCAATGCTTTTTCTCCATCAAGAAACGTATTTGTCTAGAGAGCTTAAGTCGGAAGTCACTTGCAGC